GCGCACACACGTGTGCTACACAACAAAGTTCAAGGTCTGAGAGTTGCCGCAAACACAATGAGTTTCGACAACAGTTTGTGCAGAGCAAGGTCTTCTTGGGGTGTGCTGGAATCTGCGCACCTGCAACCAGACACTCCAGCTTGCTCACCGCTTCCGTGGCCACGAGCCCTAGATCGACCCAAAGCGCGCTGACAGCATCCTCCGCACCTTGGCTCCAACAGGCTGCAAGTGGCCGGAGTGTGAAGAGACTTCCGGCACAATTACCTGTATCAGGCTGCATACTGAGCCATCGTGAACAGGGTCGCCGTCTCGTACTCACGCGGAAGTCTCACTGCGGTGGTTACATTATTACTACGAAGTGACGATGCGTCTCATCTTGCTGCAAGGAACCGGCGTGGCCCCATCGCCATCGAGAGTCTTGGGCGACCGCATTGACCACCTAGGCCAGCACGGGAGCGCACATCTGTTCAGCATCCTCCTGGAATTAACCACTTTCGTCGCGCGGGCCTGCGTTTGTGTCAATCGCTCCATTTTGACATCATCCACGTAGTCGAACCAAAGAATATTCTGAAGAATGCCTCCTAGTTGCGGGACACCTTCTTGCATGCCTGCAAGCCCTGATGCAATCTCATCAGCCAAGCCTGTCTCCACGAACTGACAAGCGTCGATACTGCAGTCCCCGATCTGTTGCCATGGCCATCGCATCATGATCCACTGGCGAGTCGCACAGGCAAACTTTGGAAAGTCGTCCTCCAAGGCCATTCGCAGCTGCTGCCTGCTCATTTTCGGGACCACATCTTGCAGTGCCACTTTGCGTAAAGAACGTTTCGTGCCAAGCTCCAAGTTAAGCTGATTTCGCTCGAAAAGGTTGACCGTGTAGTTCATTCCTCGTGCGAAATACTCGAAGGAGATTTCTTCCTTCACCTCGTGCATCTGCAACTGAAGAGCCAATTCCTCCTCGACGAGAACCCACCCAATGTCTAACTCGATTTCCCAGAGGACTCGCCGCATAGATCTCCGCTTGCCGGTAGCGACGATAACTTGCTCCATCGTGTCAAAATTGAAGAGATGTTCCTGCTGGTTCGTGGCTACATACCGAAATGTGCTATCGCCGGTCCCCAGGGCAGCTGTGAGTTTGTTGCACAGGCCGATACCAAATGGAACCCACTCGCCTCCGCGAAATAACTCCCACTGTGCACTTTGCGCATTCATCCGTGCGGCCCAGCAGTCAAACCACTTCCTATGCTCAGCCTCGTCAAAGCCAAGTGAGAAGACCGGAGATGAGTCTTCCGATGCAACCGCTCCCGGCAGTTCGGGTGCCTCCGGAGACGGGCCTTCTGCCGACCGGGCGCCCAAGGACGTCCTGGTGGCCTCGGCCTCCTCGGCCTCCGGCGGCGAGTCCTCCAAGAATCGCTGGCGGCCCTTGGCGCGCCATGCAACACAGTAATGGCACAGAGCGTAGTCGCACGGCTCGCAGCGCGACCACGTCAACTCCTGTCACAAGGACACAGGGCCCAACATGCGGTACCTACCTTCCTACAAGCGGCGAAAAATTACAAGGCAAACGCAAGGCAGGTCTGAAGGCCTGCCAGCCTTGGAGCAACAAGCGAAATTTTGACGGAAGCCTTGGCATCCGACTGTGCATAGCAGCCCTGGCAAGCACAAGGCGGAACCTTCCCCCGCAGTCCTTAGTGACTTTGTGGCAGCTGAGACGTCCGCCGTACTTATACACAGCACAGCACTTATTTCCGCACTGCACCTGCAGCACGGCTCCTATTCACAGTCGTCTCCTGATCCAAACTTCTGAACTCGATTTCTATTATCTCCAAGCTGCTTTGGAGCCTGTGACCTTCCGCGCACGTCACACTGAGCTCTGCAAGCAGGTCCTGGTGTTGAGGCAGAGGCAGAAAGAGAGAGAGAGAGAGAAGGGAAACGAAGGTTGCTACTGCTGCTTTTGCCAGGACAACACAATTCAGCCCGGTACGATTTGCACGAGCATTTGTAATCCGACACCTTTTATCACCCATACCACGTGCACAGCGCATTGCTTTCAATATTTGTTCAATTGTGTCCACGGCTCTGCCGGCCTCTGCCTCACTCAGCCGCGCTGCATCGATGGCGACACGCCGTGCCTCCTGCGATCAGTCGTAAATGCTTACAAAGAGATGCGCTGGGGAAGGGTGCCACTTGATACGGGCCGCGGGCTTGTAAAGTAGTGTCACTGCAAGTCGTGCCAATTTCATCTGGGCAAAAGCGTTCTTGGTCATAATCCTTTACTTGTCTGGATCGTCCCAGGTCCTAGATCGCCGAGTTGTCTCTTTGAGGGCGAGCTGAGCCACGAATGTAACAGTAGGGCGAGCTGAGCCACGAATGTAACAGTAGGAAGCCAAGATCACACGCAGAGAACTAGCTGTCAGTCACACAGACCACATTCACAGGCACGTCGCAGTGGAAAAGTTCAATGCCTTGTAACGTGGAGTCCTGTTGAGCACCACGGGAGTCTATAATGCATGCTTTTGCTTATTCGAGGCAGTACCATTTTGGGGGTGGAGTCCACAATGATCCATAATGCTTTTTTGGTTGTTTTGTTTGCCTCCGTTCTGCTGATGGTCAATCTTAAGGCACCCAAGATCTACTGAAGCGCAAGCTCTCCTTTTTTCCCCTTTCAGCACGGACTGAAGTGCCAGCCAGCGCGTATGCAACCCTCACCCCCTCTTAAGGCAAGAGCGCACAGGAAAAGCCTAAACCTTATACGCCAATTCCCTCGGACCCCCCAACTCCCTTCTAACTTAGTCAAAGCTAGCCCGAGCCCCCAATCTACCGAACCAAGGTCGAGGGTGTCACGGGTAACATGTTAAAGCCATCCGGAAACAGTCGGAAGGGGGGGATGGGCGGGGCGTGTCTAAACAGACCGCCACATTCACACATAACAGCTTTCAGACTTCTGCTTCATGTTCAAAGCCCGCCGTCCTCTAAAGCAAGTTGCAGCGCATCGGCATCCTCAGATCAGTTACCGAGTATTCACATCTGTCTTTCCGGTTGCATTGAGGCTTTGGAGGCCGAGCCGCGAAGTTGAGGCTCGCCTCTGCCAGATCCACCGCTGCCTGGAGAAAGTCCAGCCGGGCTTGGGCTGCCACCACGGCCGGCTGCTGCTCGGGCTCAAGCTGCCTAGGCGACTTGATTCATAGCGAAGAGGGTGCTTTGCGACAACAGTCCGGACTCATGAGGACATGCAATCTCGATAAATCTCGCCTGTGGCTCGGTCCAGTGGTGTCGTATTCTGCCAAGGAGCGCTTCCATGCAGGCGGCGATCGCTTCTCGGATTTCCTCGCACGCACACGATGCACGCGAAGATTGCCTAATGACATGTCACATCGCGTCCGGAATGCTGTAGAATTCTATGCAGCGCGATATCCCAGGATCCTGAGGCACTGCTACCGCTGCCTCCAGTGACTCGTTGAGCCTGGCGAAATGCGTGCGCGCTTTCCCATGTCTGCTCTCTCAATCCTCTTAGCTCTCTCTGCCCTCTCTTCAGTCTCTCCTTGCCTTTGTAGGGCTCTCAGTTGATCCAGTCGTCGATGGGCAAGGCGAAGTCTTTCTGGAGCATCCAGGCCATGCTCCTTTCAGACACCCTGCTCTCCAAGTCAGGCTTCAACTATCGACCTCGCTCCCTTTTGCTCTCCCACTTGTGCCTGGCCAGCTACCTGCTGAACTGAACTAGGTGATGGGGTCGGTCTTCGAGGCATAAGTGCAATGCAACAGCATGCCCGAGGGATGGCTGCAACGTGATCTACTCCATACCTACTTGGCCTCTGTGAGTTCCAATGCCAGCATTCGATGTCGAGTCTCTCGCTAAGTACTTATGGGCCCTCGGCCACACGGTAACAAGAACAGAACCCAGCTCAACATGATCGTGTCATGATGCTGGCACGACCTCCCACGAAGACAACCGAACACGCACAAGCGTCCCGGACAGTGTGTATCGTTTCGCGTCTTCAGAATGGGCCCATTAGCCTCTGCTGGGCAAAGCAGAACTCACCGAAGGTACAGCGCCCTCCAAATCCGGCTTGGCGTGTCAGCACAGGTCTCCTCGGCACGACGGAGCCGATCCTGGAGCAGCTCGATGCTGTGTCCTGCGACGTGAATCCGAATGGACAAGAGTTATGTAAGTATTAAATAGATGCGCCGCTGTAAGAGAATAGCATATGCCACCCCCCAAAACCCCCACCACCCCCCCCACCAAATGCCACACAATAATAATCAGAAGAATAGTATGAATACCAATAATACAAATAGTTACCATAGCATTAATACTAGGCATAGTGCTATTCCTTGGAAGGGGGTCCGGCGGTGGTATCCCCCCCTTTTGAAGTTGGGAAGAGGCGGGGTGGTCGTACGTTACCCCCCCTTTTTTTCGTCGAAACGGGGGGTGAGGCAACCCCCAGGTTCAGGCAGCGGAGGCCGCGTTGCAGAGAACTATCCGTTGTGACCTCGGTCATCCCATCCCGGGCTCTACGAGATCAAGCAAATTCAGCTTCCGTGAGTGGTCACAAGTTCTGATGCAGTACCAAAGTATGACTACGACCACGTCTCGCACCTTCTGTGGCTCTGCGGAGCTCGAAGTCGATGTCAGCAAGGAGGTCCAGCCGCTGAAGCAGAAGCTGCACATGCGACCGGACCTAAATTCGTCTCACGGCGTCTTGACTTCCGGAAGCAGACAGTGTGCCAGTATCTTGGAATGACATGTCCGAGCGGTGGGCCATCAAAGCCTCCTGCCCTTCGGCGGCAGAGATAGCTTCCTCCAGCTGTTGGAAGGAGGTGAGGCCGCAAGCCATATCGAGCCGATCGCAAAGCTGCAGCTGAAGCGATGCAGCTGCCACCTCGGGATCCCTGCAAGGGCCAAGGTCACCAACTTCCAGGCAGCTTTACAAAATTATCGTTGCAGAACTGCTGCCGCTCATGCTTGCCCTGTTTACCGGAATCACTGACGGGACAGCGATGCGCTGGGCCTTGCTTCGTGGTGCTCGACTGCACGCAGAGCCATCTGCAGTCGTTCCACGCTGTCCCCGTCCATGGCGATGTTGAGTTCACATGGCAAACAAACCTGGAAGCCGCACCTGCCGAACCAAGCTGAAAACATCAGCGGCGATTGTCAGGTCGCAAGGGAATTTGCCTCTGGCCAAAATTGCTCGATATCTCTCCAAGGGACTTGTGCACACAAGTCCAGCTGAAGCTCATAGAGGAAGTCGCGCACAAGGAGCATTCTGCAGTGTCGAAGAACCCTCGTCTGTGCAATGCGCAGACAGCGTGGCACGCGTTGCAGGGCCGCGCGCAACTCTGAGTATCCTCTTGGCCTGCATGGAATGGAGAGCCAAGAGCACGATCACTCCGCATGAAACCCCAACCCAAACAACACCACATCATCTGCACCCCATCCCCCTCCTTGACCCTCTCTCCCTCCCGTCTCCCTTTCCCTCCCTCCTCGCTTTTGTCGCTCAAGCTGAAGGACTCCCACACTCATGCATGTTTCCGAATCTCCGAACCTCTCTCATATGAAGACCGCCTTTTTCTTTTTCTGCTGGCCTGAGGGCCGGGGTAAGCCCCGACCTCCCCCCCCCCCCCCCCCCGCGGAGCCCCCTGTCAGGCTGTCCAGGGTGACATGACAAGCCTGAGCAATCTATGTTCATGGGAAGTGCTTTCGGCTACGACCTCCTCTCGCCCTTTCTGGGTAAGGCGGGAGTTGTAGGAGGGTTACACGGGCCTCTCCAGGCGCTGCCACCGCATCCCATCACGGCAGTCCACTGCCAGGCTCACACATGGCTCAGGCGCGCGTGCCCTTCAGGCACACAGCCTGGCACAGCGAGCCCTCAAAGCTTTATGTGAAAGACAAACAGCAAGCGGCAGCAAGCGGCATCATCCTCAAGCGCGGGAGATCATTCAATCGGAGACCGACATGCTGAGATGACTATTCCAAGTCATGCGGTGCGTCCGTCGCATGCGGCGCGGTTTTTTCCCGTCTTCTTCGCTGTCGCTGTCACAGGAGACGGAGACAAGGCACAAGCCAACTGCAGATCAGTACTCGGTATCGAGAGGAATGCGCTCACATGTAAGGATGAATGGCTTTGATTCCATTCCTTGGCGGCGCAGTCGCAAAGTGTACTTCAGATGGACAACGTCACGACCAAATTTTGCCAAAACTCAGCACCTGCTCGTAGGTCTTGCTGTAAGTGGCGTCACCTTTGGGCTCCAGAACCATGACCTTTGAATGCGCAGGCGCTGCGAGGCCCAAAGCTTCAATGTTCATGGCCGAGACTTGCTCGACGTATGGATCATAGCCCCAGCCTGAAACATCCTTAACAACGAAGCTGTAAAGTGCCTTAAACTTCTAGCAAGCACCATCATCCTTGTGGCAGAGGCGCCAAGCTAATGGGCCGTCGTGTCTGGCAAGCAGCGCCGAGTTGATGTCGCGAAGACACGTAACAGTAGTGCACGCCTTTCTCCTTCGGTTTTTCGGCTGACTTGATGGTTTGATCAAACTGCCTCAGCTTTTTCCGGGCCTGGGCATGCGCCGCGGGACGGTTTCACGCATTTCAATGATCTAGTTATCTAGTTTGTGGTTACCAAGTTTGTGGTTGCCTTGCTGGCCCTACGTCGAGCAAGGTCCTCGGCCAGCAAGGGCACGTGGGCGAAAACATCCTGGGCGAGAAAAACCACGTGTCACAAAGAAACTCTAGTACCACCTGTGCAGCCATGCCACCATGGGAAAGATGTCGGCCGCCTGAGTGCGGGCCATGAAATGTGCAGATTTTCGTAAGCTAGTGGCATGATACAAACAATCTAAAAAACTTACCTTTGTTGCCTCAAATCGAGCAGCTCAGGCAGGCACTAAGAAACAAACTCCCTTTTGGCCTTTGCGAATGGCTTTTGTGACCTCGGGGACTCCACGCCTCGGAACATCAGCTGCTCATCTGCCAATTTCCTCTTCTGCTAGGCTTGGAAATCTCATCATGAATCATAACAATTCGGCAGCGGCTACATCGTCGAAATAGTCTGCAGATCACCAGCTCTTTGCATCTGCCTGGTCTGCTTCTCGGAGACGGCTTTCTTCAGCAGCTTCAAGGATCGATCCAGAAGCTTATCCTGAGCTTTTGTCTTCGTTACATCTGTACGTACAAGGACATGCCCTCAATAACCGTCTTCTGGCCTCTGCCCTTTACATGGCTGGGTGTTGGAACGACATTACATCTTGTTGCCGAGTTTCTGTAATGAGAGGGTCAGCCAAGGGTGAAACATACAGCGCTTTCCTCTCCTGCAGGATATCAGCTCAGACCATGCATACACTCACAGGCCCTCAGGCCCTGAGGCTTCGGCCTCATATAGCACGCTTGACGAAAACACGCTTGACGCATGCCACTAATCAACACATTCCCGACACTTCTGTCACGACATTTTCTGCCTGAAGCGAACTGTGAGGAGTCGGAGGGTTCCAGGATTCTTCCATTGGGCTGAATGGCGCCTTCAGGAAGTCTGTACGAAGATTGCAACAGGTCTTTGGAGATCGTAGATGCCCCGGATCCCTGAGAGGGATGCTCTGAGCCCAAGCAGCCCTGAGAAAGCTTGTACAGGAAATCCCAAGGCCCGGGACACACACACACACTGTGCTCACCCTGCTCACGCGTACAAGGGCTCTGAATGCTCGGCCGCTACGTCAGCCGCGACTGCATCCCAAAAGGCGCAAATCTCTGGGCGACCATGTGGGGTCTCTTCAGCCATCGAGCCACCGGGCAGCGAGGCATTGAGCACAATGTTCCTAGCGATTCAGATCATACACGAGAGAGAGATTGTGGGCTCTTCCCGGCGGAGCTGTATAAGACACTGAAACAATGCAAGCAGGGCAAGGGTCTGAGTCACGTCGCCTCCCGCTGCAAACTTCGGCCAGGAGCCTTGCGTGTCGCACTTGTCCCTGCAGTTGGGGTCGCCGCTGGCTGCAACATTGGTCCAAAAGGTGCCCACGGTTCGGGCAAAGTCCCACCTCATGCAACGGGCATCTCAGATCCGTACTACACTAAGGTTAAGGGGTGATAAGTATTGAGGGAATACAAACTCTCAGTCACAGATGCTCGCAAACAGGGATGATGCCACGTAGGCCCACAGACGTGAATGGCATGCTGCCTGCAGGACTAAGTGCTGTCTGGGTGCTCCTTGTCGTTGAAGTAGGCACGATATCCTTCATGGCCGAATCGGTTTGGGGCATAGCATGCCTCGCAGCGAGTGAGGTGTGGGCAGTCCGGTGTGGTAAGGCCCCAAAGGCCGCAGCAGCTGCCATCCTCCATGAAGTTTGGCTGGCCCAATACAAAAGTCACTTCATCTTGGTGAGCAGCACCCAGGTATGGTAAATGGTAGTTGGGGACGGCAGTGCAATTCGGGTTGCCGGTGTACCTTTGCACTCCGTACTGCTAGGAGCTTGCAAGCTTCGGTCGAGGACCGATGAAGCCGACAACTGAGCCGTGAACCAGTAGTCGAAGCGGTACGTGAAGGCTCGTCCAGGCCTGGCCTTGTTGAACCAGGAGGCGCGCTGTCGAATCTGGCAATGGCTCTGGTCTGACTCAACGTTCCCGAGCTGATGCACGTTCCTTGGCGATGCCCAAGCACTGGTAAAAAAGGGGCTGCGGTCCCTGTATGAATCCGGGCAACATCATACTTCATACATCCGAGGAGCAAGATGCTGCTGCCAGGGGCAGGTGGGTACAAGCTGAGGGCCTGCCAATCGAGCGGCAGGCTCGTCCACAGCCCAAAAAAGAATTCCTAAAATTCTTAACATCTTCTTTCTTGCCCCCCATGTGTTATGGGGGCGTGTCTCAGAAATCTACTACCACGGCAGATTCCCCGGATCAAAAAGCGACTGACCAGGGAAACACACCTCTTTAAATCTTGTTGCTTGCTCCAGATTTAAGGTTGCATCTTCTATCACTCGCTCATCTCTCTCCCTTCTTCTTCTACCAGGTTCAAGGGGCATGGCAAGCACTCCCAGCATCAAGCCCGCCCGCCTTCTGCGGACTTTTAGGGGGGAGTGCAAGTTTTGGGGGTTGTTCGACCAGAACTACAACTTAGCATTGGGTATGTAGATTAACATATGTTTTCTGGTCATCACTCGCCCTTGTCAGAAACGTGCATGCTCTTTCTTTCACCAGGGCTAGGGATGAAGGAGGCAAGCCCCCCTCACGTGCATGCTCTCTCGCTCGCTCTCTCTCTCTCTCTCTCTGAGCCTCTCTCTGTGTCCAGGTTCCGGACATGCGAGAATCTAACTTTCGACCCTGCAAAGGCCTTGCCCAAAAGGCGCGGCCCGACGCGCATAACTAGCTGCAGGCCTGTGTGAACGTGGAGATGCAGAAAGCTCACATCACGGCATACACGCACATTTGAAGCTGTTTGAACAATGTAAGCAATTGATAGAGTCTAAGAGCTGTCGGTTCCGCATCGGGTAGTAGGTGTTGATCAATGCCCCTGTCCGCAGGCACTCGTGCGAGTGCGCTTGTGCACGGAGAGCGAGAGAGGGAGAGAGCGAGTGAGTGAGTGAGTGAGTGAGTGAGTGAGTGAGTGAGTGAGTGAGTGAGTGAGTGAGTGAGTGAGTGAGTGGAGTGAGTGAGTGGAGTGAGTGAGTGAGTG